AATGCCATCAAACATTTTAACCATTGTGGAGCTGTTTGGACAAATTGTAAGCTGTATTAGACTTACATGAAGAGGGACAATCAAAAGTGTGGTGAAGCATTCAATTCAAGTGGCCGATAGAAGCCATTCCTGTTGATATCAAATAGTCATTAGAGAATGCCAAAATATCACAAACAAAAGTGAAAAAAAAAAGGGCTTTTACAAGAGAAATGGGATGAGAAGAGAAACAAGAATGACATGAAAGCATAGTGTACTATGAGCAGGAAGCCTTAGCCTTTTGGCTGATCTGGCGCAGAGAGCAGGAAACCTCAGTGGACATAATGGCTATGTTCAGAAAACACATGCCCACCATTATTGGATACAGTAAAAAAGAAGTTCCCATCTTGTGCAGAGAGGGGTTGGTTGATCAGCTGTTTTGAGTCTGGGATAATAGAGCTACACATTAAGCTTGTTTGGCTTCCCTAACCCTAACAGGATCTCTCTCCCACCAGATGCAAGAATTCCATTCCTCCCATCAAAAGACCAATCACATTTAATAGGAATTTGGGGCCACAAATTCTTCCATGTTCTTTGCATCTCCTCTTGTGACTGAAGAGCTCCACAATGATCAAGAAGGTTGCATTTCACTGTTAGTTTTCTGGAATACAAGAAAGGAAAAAGTGAGGAAAGTAGGTTCTAAAGCTTACCAGAAGGAAACACAAACAAGTTAAAAGCACCACCCTGCAATCAATTAAAGAGATGCATAAACCTGAGTGCCATTAGAATGCATGATAAATGGAAGACATGAATTGGACTTTTGTCCTTGATTTAAGCTCTATTTTATCTTCTTAGCAATGGTAGGACCACCACACTATCAACTTTCACATGTTCCTCATCAATTCCCTTGATATTAGTAAAGTAATGCGAGTCATTTGACTTATTAGCTGTCTATGTTTTGGTCACATGGAAATATAGATTAGCTGATTGAAACAGATGTCACTGTTTTGGTCTTATGCAGCATGTGAAAATGAGAAATGTTAATTTGGGCAGACAGAATGGAGTGCAGCCAATTTTGACTCCATAATACTTCTAGTAATCATTTATTGTTTATTTACAAGAGTCCATGACATGAGTCATGCTACAAAAACTAATCACTGATAGATTTGTGTTACAAGGATCAAATGTACCAACATGATAAAGGAAATGAAGGTGAGATTAGCATTTGGGGTTCCATTGGATAAGGTTATAGATCCCTATTGGCACTACTGGCATTTGTGACCTTTTGGACTAGTCTCTCATCAATCAATCAGTGGGGACAAATTCTTTGATTACAACTAAAATCTAGACACAAAATTAAGATTATTTTTGCTATGATGTTGGCCTTCAAATATTTGATAGACAAATGTCCCCACATATTATTGAGTCCCAACCTTGTCACAAATCCTTCAGTCTCCTTTCTATCACCAAAGAAACAAAAAAACTCATGATCAATCAAAATGCAAGTCAACTCCTTATATTCTTTCTTATCCTTATTACAATATATAACAATCATACACATGCTTATGCCTAAGACTCCCTATTCCTTCAAATGCTTTCTTTCATAAATGTAGCAAAATACCAATAGATTACAACATGTTCTTCACATAATTCATTTAGAACATAAGATCAGACGTGAAAATGTGAGAGAGTAAAAATACCAGTAGGATTCTTCCAGAACTACACGACTATTACAGTCACATGATGATATGTACCACAAAACATAAAACTTCATTCTCTATCAAGACTGATGCTGATATGCAAACTACCAGATGAGTCGGTCCCCTATATGCACGTTTTCTCTTCATCAAAATGAATGAAGTTACACCTACCAGGAAAACCATCACATGAAATTGAGATATCGATCATGCAATGCAAGTCCTCAATTTTTTTGCCTTGTAAGAAAATTGTATTCCAAAAGCAAACAGAGTAATACGAAATTATATTCCAAAAACAAGCAGAAAAATACAACCTTGAGAAGTCCTTGTGTCCCTCCTTGATTAGTGGTTCTGTTGTCAATATGACAAAAAACCACACAAAGTTGGAGAAAGAACTATTGGTCCATCTGTGAAACCACTGCAACATTCAAGTGGTGAGTTGGAGTTGCAGCTGACAGAGGACCTGCACACCATTGCTTAGCTGCCTTGGGCACATGGAGAGATCTTATCAGAGAAGAAAACAAAAGGACAAGGACAACCGAATAAGCTACAGCTCATATATTCCCTCACTGAGAAGCTCCACCTCATATCAGCTATCCATCCTCTGTGGGAGGGTTTCAGCTCAGTGTGGAAACTTGATGAAGACCCAAAGCAGCAGCAACATTGTTTACCTAGTTCAGACTTGACAAGAAGCATGCAAGTTATTTTGGCCTCCCAAAATCAGTTCTATAATGCTTTGAAATAACTTCCAGATCGCTTACCTTCTTGTGTCCCTAACTATTCTGATCCTTGCAATTCTTTTTTAAACATGTGTTTACTGAAATCTCATAGCCCTTAATTTTATTGCACTGATCAACCAACTACTCTGTGGACAAGATTTAAACCTTTTTTTTCTGCACCCAATATTGGTGGGCTGGTGTGTTCTGAACATGTGATTGATTCCAGTGAGAGCTTCCTGCTCTCTGCACCAGCTCAGACAAAAGGCTGGATAAGGCTGTCATAATTCCATAAGATGCCAAAGGTGCAATTATTTATGGTAGCTGAGCAACTTTGACCCAATCTTGTGGGATCAAGGTAGGCATCACTCATTATCAATCTGAGATGTAGAATGCCTTATTATTTTTTTGGTACCTGAAGTTTTCAAATATATGAACTGTAGCCTCCTCCAAGAGGTACTCTGGGCTTGAATACTGTGGCCACTGAAAGGCAAGGACAACGCCTGAAGCAAATACACTGAAGTAAAAAATAAAATAAGAACATTGAACCATGTTAGTCCATGAGAACTATAAGTATAAGCTTCTTAATTAGATTCATGATTCTAATGCTTAAATTAAAAGACTTGTGAACAAAATAAGCATTTTAACATTTGAACATTTTTACAAATCCATTGATTTGCAAGAGTTTCCTAGAACACTAGTATCATAATATTCACAAAGGCAAAAAATAGAGATGCAAAGTTCTAGTAATTAATTTTTATTTAGCTGTAAGAGTCAACGGGACTAGATAAAAAAAAGTGTGAAAGCTCATATATTGTACTAACATCTGAGATATGGCTAGAAATAAAATGAACATGAACTTACTGGTATACTAAGTAGTAAACCTTTAGAACTAACAAGTACTGGTAGGGCCTTTCTTGCAGGAACTGGAATCGATTTCAAGGCCTTGAGAGCTCTTTGTGCTGACAACTGAATAAAGCTCGAACTTTCACCTCTCTGTTCTACATTTTTATTCAAGTTAGACACTGGAGTTTCTGCATGATCTTCATCATATTCCAATCCCTGGCCCTTTGAAAGTTCTGCAAGAAACAGCCAGTCTGCATCAACCATATGTCGTATTCCAACACTTGTCTCCTGTTCAACCATGCAAAACTGGCAAGCATGGTCTTGTTTGTTATGGTGTTTCCATGTGACTAAAAACCTGTTCATGAACAAACACGATTGGCTAGGATGTATATTTACGCTTGAAGGACTGACACATTGTACTTTGTATCTTAAATCATATGGAGGTTTAACTTCTCCCTCTGAACTAAACTTCTTGTATTCCTCTGCTTGCAACGAGGAGATGCTTTCTAATGTTGAGTCACTGATAAGATTAAGCTTCCTTGCTTCAGTTAGAATAGCCGTAGAAGATCTTGCATGCAAAATAGGTACACCAGAAGCCTCAGGGAGAAACTGATCAGAGTATAATTTTGCATCGATGACTATCTGATGTATCTCGCTAGGGAGCATAAAATGTTCTTCCTCGAGTGAGTATTTGCAACATAACTCCTCTGTCCTGGATGATTGAGGTGAATCGACAGAATAACACACTAAAAGTTTTGTGCCTTTTGACCGTGGAGCAGGGGAAAGGTAACAACCAGCTGCAGTAAGTGAGGTCTGTAGCATTCCAAGAAGAAGCATGAATGAACAGAAATGACTTGGAAAACAAATGTCGGTGGCAATTATAGTTTATGTCAAAAAAACAATGTCCTAAAGTAATCAGTAAGAAGATTGCAAAATACAAACTAGCAGAATTGAAAAACACAACTGAATTCAGCAAACTTATTGTGACCATCAATGTGGAGAAGAAAAACTACAGAAAATTGCCAACTTAATTATAAACCGAATGTTCAACACGCTAATCGCATATGCCCTATGCTGTTTCCTTGTAACATAACAGGGAGTATCACCCCGATGCTTTAGTATCAGTGTTTCCCGTTAGATTTGTTCTGATTCCTTATTTATTGTTTATTAACATGAAAATAGAAAATCTACGCATCAACATTTACTGGGCTTATAAATAAAAACAAAATATGTTCTTGTATCACATATGCACATGACTGCAAAAAGTTAAAAAGGGAAATAATATACATCATTACAGCATGGTAAGATGTGTTGGAGAACAGCAAGGGAATTTCATAAAATAATATCCCTATTCACATAGGGTCAATTTCACAGTACCTCGTATAGACTAATACAGTGAAACAAATTATTTGACCACAAACTCTTTAATATGGTCCACAACCAGAAGTTCCACTCTATCCAAAATTTCCCTAGTAATAACTAAAATATTCTTTATGACACCATACTGTAGAATGACCACTTCCTAAAACAGTATGAGGATCACAATACTCTAATTGGCATCACTTGATCAAATAATAATTGAAATTTAACTTAATAAAAGGACCTGCATTTCACTATATATAAACAAAGATAAGACCAAGCAGAAACTAGTTGTCCTAGAATAATCTCATTTATGTCAGTCAGAAGCAAATTTTTAAATCCTGCTCAGCAACTAAGTGAAGAACTAACCCTAATAACTGCAAGAGCATTCCGGCTAAAACCAACAGATTCAGATTAGTATTGATTCCGAAGTACAACTCTTAATCCAACAACAAATGTATTCCTTTGGAAAATACTTTAGCTAATATCTTGATGTAAAACAAATAAAAGTACAAGAGTTGATCATTCAAGACAGCCTCAGGATTCAAAATATGGTACCATAATAATGAAAATGAATGAACCTTGCATGGGAAGTTGTGGATGTAACCCAAGAGCAACTGGGAAATACTGCCACGAATTGGTCTGTGTCTTTGTGAAATATACTGTAAAATATGATCAAATCAATTTTCATTATATCATCATATAAAGAAACTATACCCAAATTGGTCTTTCAAATGCCTTTTCATTTGCAAACAGGGTCATCTTAAAATCGAGAATGAAAAAACGCAACAACATTACCTGCAAAATCCATGCTAAATATCTTGATAAGCAAAGATCATCAACACTAGATGGCTTGAGCTTCTCTAAATCAATAACTGCATATCCATGCTACAAAGAGCAACACATGTACAGACAGTTCAAAGGTGATCATGCTTAATCATCTAAAGCATCCTTCATTCAACCACAAAAAAGAAGCAAATGATAATATTACTATATATATCATGAAAAACAACACAATTTTATTACATTTGGGCTTCTTTTAAAAAAAGTAATATAATTGTTTCAGCAAATGTCAACTATTTTAGTAATACAAGATTCAGTCCTAATTAACACTCAATCTACTAATTTACTCCATGTCTATGGCAAACAAAGTCCTTTTACTCAGGATTTTTTCTACTTCAAGATCTCTTATGGTTAGTTCCTCAACAATGAATCTTGTACCCAACTCATGACAGAAATAAAATCTAATAAAAATAAGAGCCTTATTAAGTTCAAGAGGTGCATAAACTCTGAAGTTCAACATATAGTATAGAAATTTAATATTATATTTCAAGTTGTTCCTGTAATAGCCACGTCTCTCGTTGGAAAGTCTGAAGGCAACTAGTTCATTATTCCAAAATATCAAAGCCCCCAAAGAGACTTCAATTTGGACTAACATTTGGACATCTGGACAACAAAAAACAGCCTCAGATCTCAGTACTTATTAAGAAGTTTGATAACAAAATAAGCATATAAACCAAGAATAGTTGGCCAAGTGAAATAAATCTAAGATTGACAAAAATATTGAACCAAGACTCTCAGACTATTTGGCTTATCCTCGTGGCTTCAGCAGAAATAAAGAGCACCTATCAGTTTGTCAATCTACACCAACAAAATTATCTGTAGATCCATTATCTAATAGCTTCTTGTCAAACAAGACCCAACATCTATGATCTTAACAAAATACTTATTGATATTAGGCAATATGCTTCAACCAGTTTAAACAACAGCATTTGCTACAGGAGTTAACATACCTCCATGATGGTGACAGAGTGCTTTATCATCTTATGACAAATACTCTCAACATATGAACGTGCTAAGCGACAAGCAGAGATGAGCCTTTGCAGTTCTAGTTGAAAGAGATCTGGAAGACATGTAGTTCTGTGAACATAAAAAATCTGAATCGAAGATATCAAAAACTTACCTTTGTTCACAATCAGTAAAAGCTAACATGAAAAAAGTGAATGGAAAAATAGTATTTTCACCAAAATAAATGGAGAAATTAATCAACATTCATTATCATACCAAAAGTTCAATATACACTAACAGCAAAATGATGAAATTTTTGTATGCAACACTTAAGGTTTTCCCTTAATCATAATTATCATATATTAATAGAGGATTGTAAAACAATGCATTCAGTGTCAGACTAATTCTTGATTATGTACCTAGTAAACACTTAACCCATCAAATGTACAACAGTTACAAATTTGGCCACAAAGAAGCATATGGAAGCTTAGCAAGTAGAAACCACCATTAACATGTCTTATTACAAGCTCCAGAACTAAAGGCTAAAAGAATCCTTATTCTAGTACAGATATTTCCAACATAATAGATACCAAGATACAGTGACCAAAGTAGAGTATGGTCAAAGAATGAGCCTATCCTCATCGGACAATACCTAAACTTATTCTGGAACTTGCAATAAGGACAAGTTATTACAAGCAAATTGAAACTTGTAGCACCTAAAGTGGCCAACTTATTCTGGACAAGCAAATTAACAAGTACAGTTTCAGCTTATTCTTCATACTACACTTTTTGTGCTCTGATCTCAAATGATATTTTAGTTGTACAAAACTCACAAACAACCTTCAACCAATCTATATGTATAAGAATGACCATAAAATTTATTCTACCAATATTCAACAACATTTTTGAGGCAATATTTGACATCAAATATCTCCATTTGCCAACATGTCCCAATAGAGGTATCTACATTCTGTAAGTTTCATCTATGGTTCCTAGACTAGACATTATTTTAGTTATGCCCAATAATTCAAAGTCCAATCAGATTTCTGTCTATGTTCAAACTACTCAAGATTCCAATTGTGAGGTGAAGCATAAGTTTTAACCAACAAAGTCACTGCTGTAAGGCAATAGAGTTTTCAATTAATGAAGCACCTAATTTAACATATGGCCCAGTCAAAAAAAAAAAACCTCAAATCATGTAGATTAATCTCCATTTTGTAGGTAAAAGTTAAACACCGTAGAATTACATTTCAATAAGAAAACATGTAGCTAACTAAATATAAAACCACCTCGTTCATGTTAGTTAAGTCTTAATAGAGGTCCAATGACTTTGGCTAGACATGAAAATATCAATAAATTTCAGTCTTACCCGATGATAGGCACCTTAAACTGGAGCGTATTCGGTTCCGAGCATATAATTGACTTTGATTTGTCGGATCTTCCACCCATTCTTGATTAGCTCCTTGGCATATCTGCATAGAAAGTTAAACCAGTCATAAGTTATTGAGAGGCGTCATGATATATCACCATGCGTACATGCATGCGCAAACAGAAATCAAACCTTGAAAGAACATAATAAATAACTTCAGTCAGTTCCCAGTCACTTCAAAACAAAAATCAAACCTATATAGTGGCAGACATTTTTGTATGTAACAAGGTACAAAAGCTTCCTAGGGGAAAAAGAAAGAAGTCAAAAATACCTAGTCAGCCAGGTAGGAAAAAATAAAGACAGCTGACTACAAGAAATTCATGGTCAAGCTAACTGATGTTTCCTAAGCAACAACGAATCAGATTCCACTCCACAATAGCATTACAAACTCATTTTATTCCATCATAGATGTCAAACAAGCACAAGTATGACTATGACTACAAAAAAAGAAACATAAGAGATAGAGAAACTGGAGAATAAAAGAAGGGAAAGAAAAGGTGAAAGACTAAGAAGCAAGGTCTTTAATTTCGAATAATACTGCCTGTATCGGGCGGTACGTACCAGTCCGCCAACAAACCGGTACACGGACCGCCCGCTACCAAGTAGTACCATCGATTGGGCTATTTTCGCCCCGTTATCATTTTAAATCAACGGTGGCCGAGGAAGAAAAAAGAAGAGGGGTGACCGAGGGAGAAGAAAGAAGAGGGAGAAGGGGAAGAAAGAAAAAGGAGAAGAAGAGGAGTACCTACGCCACTCTCCCTCCTCATCTATCGGCGACCTCTCATCCGCGTGGGAAGAAGAATCTCAACGTCGCAGGGAGAAGAAGAGGTGACGTCGCAGAAAAAACGATTTTTTTTACTTTATATATATATATATATATATATATATATATATATATATATATATATAGGCGACGCCACCTTTTTTTTCTGCGAGAAGAGAGGCAACGTCGTCGAAAAATATTTTCTTTACTTTATATATATATATATATATATATATATATATATATATCGAGCGGTATACCGAAATATACCACTCGATATGCTACTCTACTGTATACTGAGTGAATCTCAAAACTCCGGTACGGTACGAAATTTCAGTCCTTGCTAAGAAGTACCAAACAAATGTACAGAAATGACTGCAAATTGATTGTAAAATAAGATAGGCATGTCCCCACTAATCAAACAAATTAATCAAACATAACATATTCTCACATCCATGGATAACTTATAAGTCCTCAAAGATCCAAGAAATGGTTGCCACAAGCATATATGCTCTAGGGATAATAAGAAATATTAAACAAATGAATACAACAAGTCCAAAACCAACTTTTGCCGATGTATGCGAGTCTGAACTTGCACAAAATCTCCCAAAAAGATTTAAGATATATAAACTAACCTTGTACATGTCATCTTTTGTAAATTCTAGTATTGGTCGCACCAGCAAAATACCATCATAAGCTGGATTCTCTCCATATCTTAGAGACACAGGAAACAATTGTGAAACAAATGCCATGCCAGCAAGCCCAAGAACTCCACTATTACGAGACAACCTCAGGATTAGAAGCTCAGCCTGCAGTAACAGAGTTTTTGACAACTGATAAATTTAAGATTAAAAAAAAATAGAACAATGATATAACTTCACTATCATTTTTATTATTTTCTAAGAAAACTTTAACATCTAACTTTTATCCCCTAGATTTCTAGATGTCATAAAAGAGAACTGGTGTCAAAGAGAAGGGTGACAAGCTACATCTACCCAGTTATCTCGGATGCCCTCTCCTTTTTGGTCCAACGTGTCTAAAATTTATAATCCTCGCCATGTGAAAAAAACGTAGTGCTCATGCCATCCATGTTGTCTGCTGCCAAAACAGAATATAAACTATTTACCCTACATCTCAAGCAAAGAGCATAAGGTAATGGCATATCTCCATCCATTTTAGCTTGCTCACCCATACATTTCAACTATTATGCAACCTAATCATTTCTTTTTACTAGATTGATACCATGACATTCAAGTGAATCTAACTCCAAACCTGCACTGATACAACAATAAGTAATTCATATCAAGGATTGAAATATCATAGTGTACCGAAGTTTCGACCTTCTCTCGATACGATACGGTACTTTATACCGAGCGGTATATTGTTCGGTATATATATATATATATATATATATATATAAGTAAAAAAAAAATTGACGATGTCACCTCCCTTCTCCCCCACGCGAGGCGACGTCGCATATATATATATATATATATATATATAAAATATTTTATTTATATATTTATATATATATAATTTTAAAAAATGTGCGACGTCGCCTCTCTTCTCCCCAGGCGGGGCAACATCGTAGAAAAACGAGGCGACATTGCCTCGGTGACGTCGCCTATATATATACATATATATACTTTTAAATAAAAAAATACCGATCGGTAGCGAGCGGTCCGTGTACTACATACCGCTTGTACCGGGCAGTATTAATTTGAAACCGTATACCTCGATTCATATTTACCAGTCAATCACCTTAAAAGCTCTTAGCTGTGTGTCAATGCCCCATGAGCACCACAAGCCCATAAAACTATCTTTCATAATGCAACTATCAAAAACATTAACACTAATCCCACATCTTTACCTTATACAATTCTCCAAGTCTAACATCCTCTAGCCAAACATTCATTTATTCTGAAGCAAATAAGAACAACCTTTCACCTCTCTACTTGTCGGGGTAAAGCTGCAAACCACTCCAATCCCAGAATTAGTGGGAGCCTCATGCTCTTGACCACCCTCAATAATCCCCATACACATCATGTTCATTGTTAATTCATATTGCGGACACTATCCCAATATGGCAATTTCTTGTATATATTCTTCAAATTAAGAGTTTTGTAAGAAATCTCAAAAGCAAAGAACATGTCCATACTATCCCAATATTGCAATCTCTTGAACTGTCATTTATGCTGTAATCATCCCACAATATTCTTTCCCATCCTTCTCAGTTAGGGTTACTAAGAAATAACATAGACATTTCTTAACAAATGAAACTATCTAAACCAAGAAAACCTTATTAATCAAGTTCATAAGTAATGCACCACAAGAAAAAAATAATAATAAATAAGTAAAGAAAAATATTTGAGAAACCCAAAATTAAGGATCCATGTACAGTCCCTTGTTTGTGCAGCAAGATGACACTACCTACGCCATCAGAGAATTCTTAATTTTCAAGTTAGACTTAATTTCAAGTATACGAAAGTAAACTCAGACCTGGTCATCTGCATGGTGTGCGATGAGAAGGATTCCAATGTGTTGCTTAATGCAAACATCCTCAAAGATTTGGTACCTGTAATTAATACCAATAGGAGTTATGGATTCCAACACTAAGAAACAGATGAAAGTCTCTCAAATAAAAACAGGATATAATCTATGCAAGGATTCAAAAATAAGTTATATCTTCCAGTTTGTTTATTTTTTGGACAAAATCCTAACAAAGGCATAACTTCATTGGTACATCCAACAAGTTTTGAAGTGCTTGTGGAATTTCAGTAACTCACATACCGATTGTATGGCAAGAACTAATAGTTCTCCATCGGGTGAAATAGACCCGAAAACATTGTCGATTGATATGTTTTTATGCTAATATAATCAGTTTTTGCTCCCTCCTAGTTTTACTTCAATCAACACAATGCACCACAGCATCAGTCATACTGGCCCAACCCACAACTGTTCCCAATCCTTGATAACTATATCACAAATTAACTTTTATTATATAAATTCTTCGTTACATTTATTACCTTCTTAGTATGTGCTCATGTTATATTAATTTAATCTTTATTACAAATATATTGCATCAATCTTTATATTCATTTTACACCACAATAGGTTATCAATATATGCATTTGCACACTTTTAATGATTCATTTATATCATCCGAAGTATACAAAAAGCATAACATATGTGCATTATTAACTTGTTGTAAAATACATTATTTTTTCAAAGTAAATCATGTCACAGTTCTCAAAAACTGAAACATTTAAAATTTTCCTATTTGCTAGAATCCTAAAAGGCAAACAGGTACATGAGAATAAATTACACTTAAATCACAATTTTCTCGATACAATGAACTTAACAAAGAATTGATCAAATTTCAGATGCTCAAAATACAAAGTGTAATATGAGTTTCATAGTCCTAAAGTGCCACATAAAGTACAGAGGAGAACACTCGGCTCTTGTAATATAAGTTCAAAGAATTACACTGCAAAAAAGTTCAGACAGCAAATGCAAATCCAGAAGAAAAATACCACACCTCATTTCACGAGCAGCCTCTTGCAAATGACCATGCTTTGGTCGACCACCCGACCAATTACAAGTCCCAATCTCACATTTGACACCTAAAGCAAAACATCTCACAATCTAGCGGATGCATATGCTCAAAACCAAGAAAACAGATTGCAAGAAATAAAAACGTAACCAGAGATTACCCATTTTGTTCACTCTGTCTCGCACCAAAATAGCCTCCTCTGTGCTCTCGGCACGCAATCTATGGTCCACTACAATCCCCAGAAGCCCATCAATGAAGCCCGAACACTCGTTCTTTGTGACCGAACCATCCAATTTCCAACCCGCCGTCAAGACGCACAGCGCCATGCTATCGGGTCCGCCAGAGACGCCGAAAGCTGCCAAGCACGCGAAGAAATCCGTTCGATCAAGCAATACGAAAACTCGCCAAACGAGGATGAAAGATGGGATCTCCGAGCACCAATTCGGTGGTGGGGTTTGATTCCGGCCATGGCCATCCTGCGGGCGAAGGCCTCCCTGTACCGCGACATGTCCGGAGCGGAGCACTTGCAAAGGAACCGGCGGAGAGGGAGGCAAGGAGAGGGGCGGAGGACGCAGAGCATCTTTGGAGCATTGCAGAGACCGAAACTAGGGTTCTCGAGTGGGTTTCTCGCCCGACCAACGGTACGCTATCGTGACGATAAGATGAACCCAGCGCGAATCGTAATAAACTAGGATGGGCTTCTCCTAGCCGTCCGATCCCAAACGAAAGCCCGAATCGGATAAATTTCCGGAATTAAAATACAGTTAAGATCGTAGGATGCAAAATGAGGATCCGTACGCGAAGTTTAAGACCGGATTCGGATCAACTTTCGGGCTATCGGATTCCATGAACATCAAAGGCGTTTTGCCGGAAATGAGGCATCCTATCACAAGCATATACTGTGCAGTCCGCACTTTTTATTAGCTTAAGACATCAGAGTGCATTGCATTAATCATCCCTTGAAATATAGTCACAAATAACGTCTGCAAGAGATGGCTTTAAAATGTGCAGTGAATCACCAATCTAAGCATTTACAACAAAGCTCTTTACATGGTTAGGTCATATGGTGAGCAGTATAACTTCCACAGTCTGGTGTCTCACCTGACTCATAACTCCATGCTTGCCTTATACCAAGCCTAAATCATCTTGTAGTTTACTAAGGTAAAGTTAACCATCAGGTAGGAAGAATACTTGGTTTCATGCCCTTAATTCATGTGCCGTGAAAAGCATTGCCGGAACTGGAGAGGATTATAAAGGCACAGACCACTGATAGTGAGAAGACGGAGACCCATGTGTTCTCGGCATACATCTCCATAGCGTCCGTGACAGAGAAGCGCGCACGGCTCTCCGCCCAGTTGCGGATCCTGTCAGCCTCGGCTGCATATAATGCTCTTCCCTGTGGATAAAACAAAGTACAGATATCCTGAAACTGATGATAGGAAGAAAAATTAATGTAGAAAGTGGAAATGATATGGAGAAGGAAACAACAATAGGAACGCTTAGTTCAATCTGCCAAACATTAGTTGTTTCTTTGGTCCAAAATTCAATTATAGAAGAGTTTGCAAAGAGGAATGCTGTACAAAGAGAAGCCTTGAAATAATCACAGTTCACAAGAGGAATACTGTACAAAGAACAACGGCCTGAATGTGGCAATTTCTTCCATTTAGATATATGAGCCCCTTGATTGTGCTTACCAAGAGCATGGGTACCTCAAATAAATGTTTAAGAACAGAGATGAATATGACATAACACAGAATGAGCAACTAATGGAGCTAAGAACTAGATTTACCTGCTCATCGAACCATCGGCCTCGACGAAGCCAAGCAGTCACCAAAGCAAGTAAGATTCGAGGTGGTGTCAGGTAATTAATTGCCTTTCCACTTCCCTTGACGACTCGCATCCTTGGCACTAAAGTTCTGGCCACTGTTTCTGGAAGCTCACAAATTATATTGAACATCTGTTTGTTTCTCAATGATGAACCGCTGCATAGATCGGAGATCATGAACTTATAAGGTCACAAGTATACATATCACACAGAAAGCCATAATACCAGTACCAGCTGACAAAGAGCCTGCAAAGGCCCATACAGGTACAGAGGTTGACGAGGAAACAAAACCTTCCAAAGAACACATGGAACTCTATGGGAGCTAACCAGATAATCATCTTAATGAAATAATGGAAGCATAGTGACAGATGATTAAGAATTGTTTGCTTGATGCAGTTTCTTTCTCGAACACCAATAATGCAGGTAAAGATAATTTTTAGCTGAACAAAGGAACAGCTGATGCTTGTTGAGGCTCCCACACACACATGAATTTTTTCCTTTAATTGTTCAAGTATGTTGAAGCTTTGAACAACTAGAAAAAGAAATTCTATTACAGCTGGAACAGGTTTATGATTAACGGAAGCATTACTGCATCTGTATTTACCTTAAAAGTAATTCTGTAAGAACCATTCCTGGGGATGCTGTGTGGACTCCAACCTTGGAACGCTTGCATTCTTTCAGAAGTGAGGCTTGGAGTTGTCTAAGGCCACACTTAGTTGACCCATAGCTGAGAGACAAACATGATATGGTGGTGTCAGAATTATTGGTAATGAAATTATTTATGAATCACCATGCCCAGAATTCTCTAGGTTGAAAGAATAATTTCTAAGGCTTTAAGTTACAAGAACCTACTAGATCAGTATTTACTGCTCAGCAAATTCCTGATGACAGTCGGTATAACAAAAAAGCTAATAAAATATTATTTTATTGTTGAAATGCAGCTGGTATCATAGTATACCAGTGCACCAGCCCTGGTCAGGCAGGATGTGCAGTACACTGGTATTTCATACACTGTATTAGGACAACCACAGATTGTTCTAATAGTAGTACTTGCAGTACATGATCACTTGTATCTATCCTCAGAAACAGCTTGAACAAACAAGATCAGAGGTTGATCCAATCCAATGATTTCTGGCAAGCTTCCATATCATTCAATTCAGAATATGGGTTCATTTTGATAATTAAATGCATGCCATTAAGTTGAACACAATGTCATTAAGTTGAACACAAGTCATGTATGTAGTCAGGGTGAAGTTGGTTCCATAAGGCAAGATGGATATCATCACATCTTAGATCTACAGAAGACAAGATTAAGTCATAAATAAGCATGTAAAACTTACACAGCTGTCAATGGTGTGCTTGATCCACCGGAACCTGCCCCATCCATGTTGAATATGTGGCCCCCCTTGTCTTGGGACCCAATGATATGAATTGCTTCTCTCGTACAGAGTAAAGAACCAACCAAGTTTGTTGAGACAATCTAACAAGTCAGACATGAAAGGGAAGCCTGATATGAGAACAACCTACATTTTGCCTGATATGAACATATCCTCACAAAAGTCAAAGACAACCTACAATTTGATATTTAGGAAATGTTTAGAGGCCTCTGATATGATAACAAAAACAAGTTCAGCCAATTATTTTGGATCAACAAGATGGATCCTTCCAAATCATTTACCTCAAGGACAGTACCCTCAAATAATCCAAAGACCAACATTCTCACACTCAACCTTTCATCACAGAAGAACTATTTGTAACAAAGACAGATGAACAGCCTAAATTTGATCTTTGAGCATCTCCGCTTCATTGTAAAACGTTTCATTAATTATTAGGCAAAGAGAGAATGTAATGAACAACTGAAAAACATACAAGCCACATGTTAGTTTCCTGACTATCACTATTACCCAAAACCCATAGCCATGAATCTTTGAGTAAATCAGGAACAGGCAATGACATCCTCACAGCAAACTAATTTTTGCACAAGCAGACATACTTTGGTGAAGTTCTTAAGTGTTAAAATCATTAAGTTACTAGAATGTATGACGAAATATTACAAACCTGATCAATATCATCATCTGTGAACTGCAGCAACGGTCTGAAACCTTTGTTTGTGCCAGCATTATTGATCTGTTCACAGCATTGGAGAAGAGGCTATCAGACAAAGGTACTAGTACTTCATTGAAAAAAAAAAGATGATAATTATAAAGTTAACAGACAGATTGAGAGTTTGTGACAATGAATCTCTTGAGCCATGGATGCATGAATATCACAATAAAATAGCAGGAAGAAACAATATTCAGAAGCAACAATACAGAGAAAAAGCAGGAGTGAAGTATAAACTGAAGTTCTAAGAATGTCCAAAATGTAAAGACTTACCCAAATGTCCACTGAACCCAATTCATCTACAGCAAAGTTTGCCAGCTTTCTAACATCTTCTGGTTTGCAAACGTCACAAGCGATACCAACAACCATTGCATGAGATAAATTTGTCCTGGCTTTGTTTTTAGAAACAGCCAAACCATCCTTTAGGTTTTCCCTCAGTTCTTCCACTGTCTGATGAACTGATTCAGGGCTGCCTTCAAGAATCAGATTGGAATAGTCAGGAACAAGAAACTGAAATAGAAGGTAGATGCTAACAAAAATGGAAGGAAATTTGACGGCATAGTAATATACTGATAAAGATTTCAAGGAAATGAATACGACCTACGAGAAGCAATGACAACCCGGTCTCCTGATAGAAGAAACTCACGGGCAAGAGCTTTTCCTAATCCCCTTGTGCTGTAAAATATATCCAACAAATTAAGAGATATCATCTCCGGTTCACTGCCTAAGCAGAAATTTTATCTAAAACTGCAATAAATAACTGCTCCCAGAGTATTAACTAAAACAATTATCAATTAACCCTTAATGCTGTTAATCCAAGTGAATAGAACTATTTATTCATCAGTTGAAGACCTATAGACTATTGTTTATATCAAAGCATATGAAGAAGACAGGATTATTGGTGACCAATAATGCTGTTAATTGAACTTAGAGATTTAGCTCCAAATATTTAGAAAAATGAATACCCTTGGATAATTACTGTATTAACTATATGCACAAAGAAAGGCAGGACAGAGTTTTTTTGTGTGAACCATCAATGCGTTTGTTCATAGCTAATTAATCTATTCATATTTCTTCATGATGATTCTTTTCATGCTTTGGGAGTCTGCAATATGATTTTAGGAATCAATGATGACTTAGCTGAGAATTACGATTAGCCTTCTCGTTTGTGACTTCAGAACTACTTTCTAAGTGAATCCATATATCATTCCTAGTCATCATCTTCAATTAAAACAATGATACAAATAAGCTACCTTCCGGTAATAACAACATTTCGCGGTCCAGCTTTGCAATGTTCTTCTAAAACCATGTTTGCGCCTATCATTGTTCCAATAATAATTCCACCGAGCCAGCTATACCAAATCAGTGTGTTCATTTGACTGTCCCCGCCTTCATAATCATCAAAAACGATAAGAAAAACATGGACATAAGATTTTTGTGATCTACAAGAATTACAAAAGAAAAAGGGAGATTTTTATGTATGGTAAAGCAGACTGACGAACCTGATAATTGAAATCCAATTGCAAGAATAATTCCAGTGCTCGTCATGGTGACAAGATATCTTCCTAGTTGTGTTGCAAACTGCAAAAAGAAAATGAATAAAAGAATTAAAAAATAGAGATAAAGAGACTAAGAGAGTGAATACATGAAAAAGTTACAGTGGACAAGCAGGATCAACCAGATCTGACATTATTGCCGACAACAGTATAGCACTGATACCTTTAAAAAGGATGATAGAGAACAAGCAGTATGTTCAACTTCAAACATTTTGGTTTTACCTCCAACCTAGAAGTTGTTTACACCACAACTAAGACATGGCGTTGTACATTGTCAGAACTAAAAATTCTTATTTTACAATCTTGAAGCATGTGGCATCTTAAAACATTCAAAATATCTTATTGTTTATATATATGCTTCTTTGACCAATTGCAGAATTTAGCTACAAACCATAAAAGATTTTTCAAATTCGTCCACAAATATAGGGCTGAAAATCTGTTGAAAACTCAGAAACCATTAACCAACATATAGTTAGAGCTGGGTATGCCAGTATGTCAACAAGTTGTTGACCAGCTCAGTTTTTTTTCTTCTGAAAATAGTAGCTCAGTTTCAAGCCAGATTTAAGTTTTGGATTGTCCTCAGTTTGAAGATCTCAGCAACCTGGACCATCCTTAGATTTCTATATGGGTATGAAGCCAGGAAATTGGCAAGTGCATGTGCCCATGCCCACACACATGCAGGCTCACACAATCACACTTGTACTTACATTCACGCTCACAAAGAGGCGCACACGCACACGTAAGGGTAGAAATAATTAATATATTCACCGAAGAATCTACCAGTCAAAGTTCCCCACGAAGTAATATAAGAGACCCAAACTAAAGGTATCAGAGGAACGAACTAGAAAGAGAAGTAATTAGATAAGAGCTCACCGAGAAGAAAATTTCTTCCACTTTCTCTACCAATTTCCTGTTCTGCCCCACGGGTCCCGAATCTGAACCCGAAAGTCTAAGGAGCATCGATTTAAGCGAATAAAGAGGACCCTTGCGCTTCAGCTGCCGCGATTCGCTCTCATCCTTCACCACGACCGTCCTGCCATCGCCCTCGGGAGAGGGTGAGTCGGAGGAGGAGGTCTCGTCCCCTCTGTTCTCGGACCTATAGGATCGGCAAAGAAACGGTGGGATCGCCCTCCGGCGGCAAATTCCCGGCCCTAAGAAGGAGATCCCGTCGTACGTCGCGGTGTTCCGGTCGAAGCAGTGCCGAAGCCTCGGGCCGTGATCGCGTCGGGCAACGTCCCTGGAGCCCAGATGATTGAAAGGGTGGGGCGAGATGTGCAGATGGGCGGCGCCGGTGGCCATGGCGAGGGGCGGTGGCATTGGCTGCCACCACGGACAAATGATGGGTAAATATAAGGGCGAAACAATCTCACAAGCAAAGCAAGGAGGGTGAAGACCACACGTTTAAGGGACGCCGAGGTATCTTGGTCGAGGCCCAACTATCTCCTCGACGTCAGGGTTCAGCCGTTTCAACACCCGGTAGCAGACGGGTCCCACAACGTTGGATATCTACGTGGCGAACCTACCACCTATACTTGGGTAAACTTACTGAACCATGTTTGAGGTCAGACCAGATGAGCCGAAACCCGTCTTCGCCACGTTCAGAAGGCCACGTCATCCGCCATCGAAGTCGCTTTTCCGTTACGAAACCGAGGTTCGCGCTATCGTACGGGATTTCAATGGCGGCCCTTGTCGTCGTTCCACGCGTCGCAATCGTCGTGGCAGGCGTCTCGTGCGTGCAATTACGATCACGCCCGTTCACTTTGGCATAACTGGACGGCTGAGATGCAGGCGCCCGCGGCTCTGGCGTGTGGCCGCTGCCTGCTCCATCCGCAAGGAACTTGGAGTCAATGTCTACCTTTATGGACGGTCAGGATTCTACGAAAAGCGGGATCGGGGTCCTGATCCGCAGATATAGACCTTAAAACAAAGCATGAGAGCCGGCGAACACAAATTAGCGGTCAGCCCATACCAAACTCGAGAGTTACGTGCGTGCACACATGGTAAACAGGATCGAAACAAGCACTTAACGCAGACGACACGGAATCGATGAGCACATTGGGCACGAGAGTGACCACAAGCAATTCCATATATTTCGGATGTAACGGAGTAGCTTAGGAAGAACCTACTCAAAGACTCGAATCTTGATCTGAAATAGACGAGCATTAGAACCATGCCAAAATTGAATCAAACGGGCAGAGAGATTTATATGCACCATGATCGATATTCAAATATGAAGAACGAAGAATCGATATGCAAATCCCAAAAGATTTCAAGGAGAAGAAATCATGGTTGGCAGACAAGTTATTTCATCATCATCAGAATCTACATCACCTTGTACAAGTTACAGGTACGGGGAAAAAATCCTCAGCTACATTCCATCATAACAGATTATTCCATCTAATTTCTCAGTGATCACTCTTCTGCAATCTTATCTATCTATCAAGGTTCTGCAATAACTAGTTATCAAGTCCATAACCATCATAACAGATTATTCCTATATGTACATACTATTATGCATGCTACATCAAGGACCTGAGAAAATCGTTGGGGGTTTCATATGCTTCATTAATGTCACGTAAGACACTGTTATCCATCTTAACCTTTGCATAATTCCCCAACCTATCCTAAATTTGATGCAATATTGATGCTTGAAATCTGCGCATGTAGTAAATTCTAATTTTGCTAGCGAAACAACTGCTGTTTCTAAGTAGACCTTCTGCAGAACACTGATCTAATGTACCCTTTTAAATTATAATCTTCATTAATGATAGTTACAGTGAGGCCCTGTTGTCGCACCCCTTGTGCATGCACTTGAAACTGAAGGTACATAAACTAACAAATTACAGAAGCTCATCCTAGCTTTCTTTACACATGAATTGTTCTATCAGGAACTTCCAGGAACTCGGATGAGTGTGTAACACAAACTAGCAGTAGACAATAAATTTCACCTTGCTAGGATGACAAGGATGTCTATTTAATTAGTTTTAATCTCATTTGAAATTCATAACCTTTTCAATAGAGCCCAAATGTAGATCCATTAAATTTATAGTACTGATCTTAGGCTACCACTTGAATGTTGCAAGCCATAACCTCTTGAAAGCAATCATCATGTCAACAATCTAAAATCACTGTTGACTCATGTTAATATGGACATATTTTACTTCTGATGGTGTTGCACTCGCTTGACATATTTTACTCGTATAGATACTAGTTCAGATAATTAACTCGATCATCCATCTGTCCTTCATGTGGCATCTAAGCTCGAAAATAGAAACCTTCAATCTAACTGAAAATCCATTCGTTGGTCAAGAATCAAAGAATCAATTCATGTATAGTGGTCATTTCTTAAAAAAAACCCTAACCAGTCCTATTATAAATAAAACTTGGCTGCATGAACAAAATAGCATGGACTGATCAATCCCACAAAGTAATCAGCTCATATTTGTTGAAATTCAGTAGAAATGTATGGAGCCAGCCATGTTCCTAGATCCAAGATCAGAAAATATACGAGTATTACATTGACCATTGTGCCCTAGACATCAACCACCGACTCGTAAGCACTTGACCATGCATAGAATACAGCAACTACCTGCTCCTCAGAGATAGGAAGAAAAATAAATTGCTCTTACAATACTACTAACCAAGTTAGACAGTCAGTACGTCTGCCGACATCATGAACTGTTGTGGAGCCGCACTATTTAAACCCCCAGAGGCTGGACCCTTGACTAAACTAGATCAATTTTCTGGTCTAAACACAGGGTTTGACTACCCCTACCAGAGTCCAACTCTAAGACTCTTGGACACAAAAGAAGCTCCATGATAAGTGTTTTGAGAGCACACACATTAAGGGATGATGCTCAACTAGTACAACATTGCATATCAAAACTAAAGCATTTAGAGAGCAGACTATTGAACTACCAGAATACTGTACAGCATTGAAAGTTGAATCAGAGCATTAGGTTCATCTAGATTTATGTCACACTATATAGATGCCAAGACATTCTTGAAGTTTCATAATGCAAAGTTCCCAGTGGAATTCCATAAAAATTAAACATATAAAATCCATCCGAAAGCATCCAAAATTGTTCACGGTAGAAGCACAATACCAATCTCTCCTTCCGCATACTACAGCTACGCCGCAGCCACGGACTTCTTCCTTGGGGCTGCTTGCGTACCTAAAGGCAACAAGGAACAGAAATCCTTAACAAATTGCAAGACGAAACCTAATAAAGAAGAGATTCTAAAAGGATTCAGGAGACAACCTTCGCGGAAGTTGTTCTTGAAACGGCGTGGCACGTGGCGGAGGTACCTCATCCTCCCAGTTCCCGTCGTATTCCTACGGATAGCCTTGACACTCCAGTTGTCTAATCCAAGCGAACCAAAATTCATCATAAGAGATAAAATTCCAAAAAAATCACATGAAGGACAGAGATCGACGGGGTAGATTATGAACATTTGCGGATCCTGCTGGAAGGGTAGCCGCAAGCGCCGCATCGGCTTTTCTGGAGGTGGAAGCTGCGGCGGCCGCAGCGGACGCAGAGAGTGTGGGTCTTGTTCCTCCGCTTCCCGAAGCTCCCGGTTCCCTTCCCCTGCAAAATTGGGAGGAGGAACAAACACTCTACGGTTTAGGTTGGGTTTCGAGAGGGATTGACGGAGAAGCAGGAAGGGGAGGAGAGGAGGCGGCAGCGGTTACCATCGGAGGTGCCCTCAACAAAACCCTAGTCTCGAACGCGTCGGCCGCAGGAGCCTTTTATACCGTGAGTGAGATACGACGTGTACACGCCTTGCGTACGGATACTATTGGATGGCAAAGGCCCACAATGTGGCCCAGCTCGAGCCCACCTGTAGCACAACAAACATGTGACTATTTTCCAGCCAATTCGTGAGTGACACGTGGCGGTCAAAAGGTGAGATCATAGGAGCAATTATAATGTACGTTTGAGACAAATAATTATTTTCCTGGCTTTTATCAATATTATTTTTAATCTGGATTTGTTTAATAAAATGTCTGTGAGGATGCAAAAATAAACAAACATACTTAAAATCATATTTGTAAGTTGATTTTTTTTTATATAATGAGAATTTATTTCTGTGAAAATATCGATAAAAGAATTGATTTTCTAATTTGTTAGATTGGAACCGTTTCTATATCACTGAGTCGTTAAGAAATCCTAAGATTCTATATTAGTTAGAAAATTAATCCATTGCAATTTGGATAAAAATTATCTATAAACATATATTTACTTTTATTTGACAATCAAATATTTGTATATTTATTTTAAAATTTTATATTTTAATATTTTTTATCATTATTTTTTATTAGTCGCGACTCGATAGGTGCAGTCTAATTATCATTTACTCGACATGACGTATTAATAAAGATCTAAATAGAATATTCTCTCGTTAGACCAATAATTAAGAGAATAATAATATATAAAATAGTCTTTGTACATAAATCTTCATGCTAAACTTACTTGATTGCAGGAGAGGTTTTGTCAAATAAGTATACAATCATTTACATGAAAGGGATAAGATATACATGATACAAACTTTATTTCACTTCCGAAGGGTTTCTCCTTTAGGAGAATTATGAATCCTCAAGTAAAATAATACTTAAAAAAATCAAGTGGAATCAATTCGAGATTAATTAGATCATTGGTGTCTATTCTCATTTATTTAAAATAATATCAATTCGATATTATGGTTGTTATAGCTTATTATCATAACTCTAGCTTGTAACTTTCTAAAATCGTGAGTATATGGTCAAAATATCAACATTTTAGAATCTACAAATGGTATAGAATTGAATGAGGTTTTAGAGTAGCACCAAGGTTATGACATCATTTGGTTATACGAAGGATGATAATTTGAGGATGAATATGGCAAGTGTGCCATGCGTAAAGGTGTCATATGAGTTAAAACTAAACAATTTAAGTTTATGATGTATGCTATATAAACACATATAATGCTAGAGATCATATTAAAATATACTTGATATACAATGTTGGAGATCCAATAAAACTATATGGAGGGCAATCTACACATAGAGAATATAGTCGCTTAAAGGAATGATCATTCGAAATTAACATTCAGATAAATGACCAATCTCTTTGCATGAAAGGCATTACAAGGACAAATATACTAGGAAGAATATGTTTACATAAAAAGATTGACCTGGTTGAGTTCAATACATGACTTGATATTGTAACTTAATTTGATAGTGATCAATGCAAGTGATGATGATGTGTTGATTGATAATCAAAAGATTTATTCAAAAGTTAAAAAACGTAAGGGGAATCATTGAATTGAAGAATTTGATACTTACATAATAACTTATATA